GTGTACTTAGGGATTAAACATTCATCTTTTAATCAAATGAAACAGGATACTACCCAATAAGGAAAGAAGGTAGAGAAGTTCAGTGCTGAATAGATGATTTTATTCAATGTAGCTTAAAGTGGTCAGCCTCATTAGCTCAGTTGCCCAGTTTTGAGAGCTCACTGAATTCTCCTTTGTCAGTGTATGCCAGTGAAAAGACTAATGATGTATGACCTGTCCAAGGAATATTAGGCACATAAGTAAATGTTGTATAAGACACATTAATGTTCAGCTGGGACTTCTTGTGGTTTCTAGTGCTAGGCATGTTGAAGCATCTGTTGCCCTGTGAAAATGCAGAATCAGCTGTGCAGGATAGCTTCTATATCATCAAGTTTAGTGGACAGATTTATGTCTCCATTCTACAGCCGAAAGATTTATCTGTCTGATTTTCCTAGAGCAATTCTTCTTGGATCAAAATATTTTCTTCTCAACTGCTTTAAGTTATGTCATAGTAATATGTCTTTAAATCCAAACCCATAAATCTTACATACCAATCTACCACATGTCTTTCATAAAATATTATAAATGATTAGTGCAGTTATATCAAGAGTTTAAAGCAAATTAATGAAGTATGCATCTTTTTTTTTTCCTTTTAGAATTCTTGTAAAATGGCTCTTAATTATTTGAAGGTTTTTTTGGGGGTTTTTTGTTTTTTGTTTTTTTTCTGTGCGAGGAAGGGGTTTGAGATGGTCCCACACATGGTTTGGGTGGATGCTGTTGTTTGTTCAGTTACAGCTTAGCTCTGGGATTTTTTTTTTTTCTGTTTGGATTGCCTTTAAAATTTTTTGAAATTCCATGTGCACTCTGACTCCACATGATACCATCGCCAGCAGGTGTATCGGAATCTGGCTCACTTAAATCAGAGTGTGTGTCTGGTCAGTGTGGGATGATGGAACCACTTTGTAATGAGAATATGCTGGGGATTGAATTCATGTGTCCTTTTTCCAGTTCTTTTTCTTTACTTCTAAAAATAATTTCTGCAGTCATTCACTGTTTCCATGAATAAGACAATTTGTATACAAATTAGCCAATTCCTCTCTAAAACAATAAATGTGTGATGTGTAACATTGCATGAAAAGGAGAAAGAAGGAAGAGAGTATAAGGACTTTCTTCACACAGTTTATATCATATACTATAGAATTATTTATTTGCATATGCTCAACAATAATCTGACATCCCTTAGAAGCAGTCCTTATTCCAGACCTGATTCTATTGCTTACACATCTGTGTCATCTGTAGCTATGTTGTTTGAGCGGGAAGAAAATTGCTTTAAGTAGAATTATGTTAAATATTAAGACTGGAAAATTCTTACGTTTTCAAGATTTTTTCCTTTCAGTGGCAAAACGATAAGAGTGATAGTAAAAGGAAAAATCTGTTGCCATAAGACAAATGTTTCTTGCAATGTTTATAAAAATACTGGAAAGACTGGTTTGGATTTTGAAACACAAACTATGCAACTTAATGGTGCAGTTTCTGGCTTACAGAAGGAGGCTCAGTTTTAGGAGCCATATACCTGCAGTGAGTTTGGGCCCAGTTGGGTCTGTGAATTAAAGAAAGCTGGCATTGACCAGATGATTTAGTACTTTTATAAATAAACATTTCTGTTAGAAAGTTTAAAAGGGAAGGGCTGACAAATACAGAACCAGTGTCTGGCCTGTAAGTAGAGGACAGGCAAGGCAAAGGAGTGGAGCTCACACTGGAATTCTATCTAAGAACCTCCTTGTCTTTGAATGCTTGACGAATTTTCAGTAGTGGTGACTTTTGTTTCCTTGGGCCTCCTTTAATAATTTTCATTACTTCATATTCATTGCAACCTGACCCAAAGAAAATACTGGACTTTTACACATAAGGAAACTTAAACTCAATTTACACATACACTCTTAGAGTGTCCACAGATTGTTTGCGAGTAGGGTGACTTTGAAATGCTATGGATTAAAAGTTTCAAGGATTGGCCTTTTAGGATTCTTTTCTCCACAATTTTGACAAGTAACCTCCCCATGATGTTGTTGTTATGCTTGAAATATATTCTCAAATCTTATCTAGAGCCGTCAAATTTTGTTAAGTATGTTGAGCTTTCACAGTAGGAAAACACATTCAGCACTTGGCTCAGATATTTTGTCTGCAATATAGGAAGTATTTTTCGAAGAGTATGTGAGCCCTGAATGATTGTTTTTGTTGTTGTTGTTTTATTTTAATTATTCTACATTGTCTTATCAGTAGGGGAAGAGAAATTGCACTATTTTTCAGATTTGGGTCCTTTTGACCTCTTTTATTCTAGCTGAGTTCATGGTATTAATTATAGTCAGAATTTAATGAACATCTTTTCAAATTATGTATTTGTTGTAACAGGAGCTGATCTTATAATTTCTTGTTGATAAATATAGGTGAAGCACAAGTGCTAAAACTAGGAAATATTCTGTTAGAGAGAGGCTCCTGTAACAAAGTTTCAATAGGAAGTTACTCCAAATAATGTTGTTAAAGCTTGAATTCTTTATAAAAGAAGCAACCAGCCATAACAAATTATTTTCGAGTTCTATTGGTTTTGCATATACAATTGGAAGAAAGAAACAGAATGTTCTTTGTGTTTTTTCCACTTATGTTTAGCCTCATAGGTTTACCAAAATTGGGATAAAAGGAAAGATACTTTTAACAATTTTTATGACCTGTTCTTGAACTAGACACTTCTTATATACTTTGTAGCATGACTGGCTTTAAACAAGCTTTTTGTCTTTTTTATAGTGTTTGTGAAGAATACTGCACTTAGCTGACAGTATAATAAAAGCATTTTTTTGTGTGTATTTCACCAAACTTTCATTATTGCAGCCATGCACTAGCTATTTCCTAGCCTATTCTTTAACTGCAGCAGAATGATCATCCATACATCTATCTAATGTTCCTCAGAAGATTGGACTAAGTAAGGATACACAGAGCTGAAAAGGATAATCTGACTTTTAACAAGGATCCTTTCTTCATAGGAAAGCAGTTATGTGTCTTTATGAGATTTGAATATACCAAGCTAACATCCTTCACTCATCTGGTACTTGGAGACGGGTGATTAGTGATCTCTAACATTTTAAGCGGGAAGACACATTTCCTTACTTCCTGCCTTGATTGTCAAGATTTCTTAGCTTTATCACTTAAATCACCGGTCCAACCAGTTTTTGTCCTAAAATAAAATGACCTTTCTGTCTGGAGAGGGAGGAGTGAAGGTGGAAGCTGCAAAATGCCATTAAACAGCTGCAAAAGTAAAGCTTGTACTTGTGAAGTTTTGGGAAGGTTCAGATGGTACCTGTCTCCCAGATGATTCAAATTCTCCATAGCTACTGAATTTTGCAGACTTTGTAGTAATCAAAATCACTACTTTATTAATTTTCTTTCTCTTTTTTTTCCTGTAAGGTAGTATCCTGAAGAATCAAGATACAGTATTAAGTGCCTACATGTTGTTAGTTTTTTTAAATGCAGGGAAGAATAATGGGATTTTTTTTTTTCAAAGTGTGTATTTGCTAATTTGTTTGGTGCGAAGCTGCAGCTCATCCTGGTTGCTGTGCTCTATGTTCAATGTAGTTACTACCAAGTTTCTCCCCTGCAGGATGCAGATTCCCTAAGGGATGGAGAGTGTCCAATGTCACGTGGCATGGTGGTTAAAGCATAATCCTCAAAGGTGGGAACAGAAGGGTTTTTTTTTAAAAAGTAAAACCTTCCTGCATACTTTTAAAAAGGAAGGCTAAGTGAAGGACACTCTTTTCATATCCTAATCTTCATAAAATTTATTTATTCTCAGCTTTTTTTACTCAACGTAGGAAAGGAAACCTGTCAATGAGTGCCGTTCCTCTGAAGTCTGGTGGTAGATTTAAGCAGTGTGAAGCTATTATTTGTTTAATGAAATCTCCTACGACAGTTGTATTTTAAGGGTCCATTAATCCTCTGGATTAAAGGAAATATTATTAATATGATTGTTGTTATTTTTATTTTTATTAGTTAGGCCTTTGAAATAGTAGAAAACCACTGCAGTTCTGTATATTAGGTACAGAAGTATTGGGATAGACAGAGCAGTTAAATCAAAGAACTGAAAACTTCTTTGGTGGAATAGCAGCAGCATGTTGTGTGTGGGCAGCCACCATTACTCTCTGCCTCAGCAACACCTGGTACTGACTAGTGTTGTCAGTACCTTTCAAATATAAAAATTCCACAGATTTTCCTACATGGTTTTATTATTATTATTTTTCCAGAAAAAGGAAGTAGAGATAAGTTCCAACAAGCTACAGAAAATATTATGCAACCCAGTGAAACCCAAGTGATTTTTAAAAATATTTTTCAGATTTTTAAAAGGAGCACAAACAGTAATGAAGTCTTGGCATAGCAACCAACATGTTGCAATTATTGGAGGCAGAAGTGTTACGGATCTTCAAAAGCAGGCCTGTGAAGTCCAGTAGGCAGAAGTCCACTGTGATCTTATATCATCATGCAAGCAAACAGTCAATCCAAATTTTCTCTCAGAAGTCCTTAGACAAGAATTTGAGAGAAAATAAAAGAAATGAGAGAGAGTTCATTCCCTATACATGCCAAATGGAGTATTTAACCATAATTAAGGTTTGAAGGAACCAATGGGAAAAGATCTTGTTATGGCTCAAGCTTAACAACACACATAGTGTCATACTCTGCTTTGCTGATTGTTGGGAACTCTAGTTCACTTTTCCAAAATCATCAAATGCCTACCAGAGTGGTATTTCTGCTGTGACACTCATCAGCAGTTCTTGTCTCTTTCCTTTTCTGAGTGCAATATTACTGTAATTCTTTAATCTCCAGTTGTCACTATAATTGCTCATTATAAATATACTGTGCTGAGAAATTAGGTCTTATAGCAAACACTTTTTTTTTTTTTTTTTGGTTATTGGGTTATTGAAAATTTACAACATCAACAAAATAGATCCTTTACTGTGCTTATTTTTCAACTTTATTAGATATCACAAGGAGCATCCCTGAATGATTTAAGGAAAAAAAAGAGGCGTGCCCCTCTTCCACCAGCTGCATCTGCTCCACCCACTCCTGCCATGCCAAACAGGACAGAGGACAGGGAAGACAAGAGGAAGAGCACAATGGGTGAGAAGCATTCTTTTCTCCTGAATAACCCTATTCATGTGTTTTCAATGCTCACTGTTTGAAGTTGCCTTAATTCTGTTATGCTGTGAGTTTGGAAACTTTTGTAACTTGGGGAAAAAACTACATTTCTCTGCAGAATGAAAGTCTGGAAATAAGTGTTTGTATATTAAGTCTTCTTTTTTTTTTTTTTTTTCAATGGCATCATTCAGAGTACCACAGGGTAGTAAAATGTAGATAACACTCATCAGATTGTTTGAATATTTGGCACAAACTTTATATCCAAAAGCACTAGCTCTGGGCCTATTCTGCACCATGAAGGTCATGATTGGTTTGTTAGTAGGTGGAAATACAGAAATAGTAAATGGAAATGCTAATAAATGGAGATAGCCAGGCAATACTAAATGCATCAGAAGCCATGAAGTTCTGCCAGGACCAAAGTACAGTCAACTTGGTTCAGTGTTTCCTCATGTTTCTAAAGCCTGAAGGCATTTGATTTTCATATAGTCCTCCAACAGTTTGACATCAACTGCCCATATCAAGTAAAGTTGTTTTTTTTTTTTTTTTAAATTTCATCCTCACTTTTATTAAAAATCAATATCTGATGATTCTTTAGCTAATCAGTAGAAGAAAAGAACCGGTGCTCTCAAAGGAATGCCATATGTACCTAGACTCAACAAAAGAAACTGTAGCTTCAGCTGCATGTGGCACCACATTTACTCACACAGGAAAACTGAAAAACATTCTCCCAGACCTCTGTTGTTATCTGCCTGGTAGCTTGTTCAGATTGGTGAGAGCTTTGCTTGAGTTAGGACACCAGGATTATGCTTCTAGCAAGCAAAGTGATTTTATAATGGGTCAAGTTATGAGATAATGACCCCACATATTGGAACTCATTTTTCAGTACATTAAGAGAATCATTCTTCAAGTGCCGTAACGCACTCAGTGCACTTCAGTTCATGCCTTTGACCTCATGTTTCATAAAATGCCTGAGACGTCCAGATATGACATTCTGTCATACATAATTGCTTACATTACAAATGCCTCGCAGTTTAGTAAGAAACCTCTTGGCTTTGTTCCAACATTTATTTTCAGTAAATGCTTCACATTTAATGCCTCAGCATTTATGTAGCAGCAGGAATCCATTATCATGTGACATATTCAACTCCATTGACATCTCTTATTTAAACTCTCTAAGGGCAGTGTTATTGCTGGGCCATATAACACAGGAGTTTTCAGCAAATTGGCTTATTTTTGATCACTACAGAGGTCACTACCACTTCTCATGCTTTGCCCTACTACTGGTCACTTTTTGATGACATTTATTGCTTTAACTTTTTATAACTGTTCTTTTTCTTTTGTATTGGTGCTCAAATGTTACAGATGAGATATAGCAGAGCAGAGCTACTTCTAGTCTGTTCAGTACTGTGTACATAAGTGCTTGTTGGAGTGCTCTGCTCATGTAGGATTCTGCAGTATCGTTTGCTTTAATGGAGCCTTATTATTTTACACTGACAAAGAACTTGTCCCACAGTAGCCCTGTCTTCAGTGCTTTTTGTTTTCTGCTACTTTCTTGAATGAATGTGTTCATTAACAAGAAAAAATGTTACAGCTGGAGAGGGTTGGTAAAACAGCCTCTCTTCAGGGCCCTTGCAGGAAAACAATGAGAAAGCACAGATGGCTCTGAAAGATGAGAGAAAAGCTGTGAAAAAAAAGCAAGACTCTAGTGAGGGGAAAAAACGTGCTGCAAGAAATAGTTAGCCACGTGATGGAAAAAAAGTATTAAAGATACCTGTGTACCTCTCAAGTTAGCCATGTGAATCAAAGCAAAAGATCCTATCAAAAATATTCTCAAACTGGCAGATTCCCCATAATGTTCAATACTGAATCAGTTATTATGACACCAAAGTATTGTGCCAAATTTCCTCAAAGCAGTAAAAAAGGGCTTGCACATTTGCCAGCATTAAATTGTGTCTCTGGAAGATACTTCTCTGGAAGCTAGTTACTGCTAAGTAAAAAATCATAATGGTTTAATCTTTTTTCTTCCCCTTTGGTGCTGCTTCCCTTCTCAGCATCCCCAAAGCACAAGCCAGAGAGTGTAGGAATGGATCAGAGCAAACATTTGTCTCTGCCAGCATCCATCGTCAGCAATGACCACAGCACGTGTTTGAGGCACGGTGTGAAAGCAGAACAAGCAGGTAGTCATGGTTCCTTAGTGCACTTTCAACTTCAAAATAGTGACCTAAGGCATCTTCCTCTTTCTTTCAGAAAGTCAGGAAAATAGTCATGTAAAGTATCTGAGAGGTCAACAAATTGAGGCAGTTTGACACTTCAGCAGATGAAATAAAACACATTTTTCACATTTTCTTACACAGCTTTTTTCAATTTTTTTAGTTAGCTTAACTATTTTTCTCCATCCTTATGCCTGCCAAAACCGGTGATTTTAACTGGTAGTTGTAATGTACATGTATGTGTACATGGCTAGGCTCAATTCTGGTCCCACTGCCTTTGGTTTAAGACACACCTTTTCCTTCTCCCTTGATTATTTGGATATAAATAAGAGCAGAACTAGATCCAGGGAGACTTTGGGTGTGGGTAAGGGAAAATCAATGTGTTTTTAAAAAATAAAAATGAACAGAATGATCATTCTCTTGCAATGAAGTAACAAGTCAATTGATCCCCCTGTAGGTGATGGACGGCAGGTGCCACAAAAGCCTCCTAGGGGCACCACTCGTGGTCCCCCCCAATTAGTGATCCCCCCACCCCCACCTTACCCTCCTCCTGGCAGTGACATTGTGGATCCAACAGTGTGTTACAGAGAAGCAGATGTTACAGCACCAACAGAGCTGGTACCTAAACGTATGTTTGAAAATATATGTATTTGCATTTCCATTCTTTTGATGATTACTCTCAGGAATAGCTTTTCCAGACTTTCCTCTCTGCTCTTTAGACATCCATGTCTGTTTTTCCCCCTTTTTCCAGCCTGTTGTCTTTCAAAATGCCCAATGCAGTGTAACTAATTAATATAAAGTGAGCAAAGCACTTGCTTGGAGAGAGTTTTGCACGTGATACCTGATCATTGTACAGCAGCATTTTAAAATAACCATCAAGCTTTGTTGCTTTGTTCAACTGGAAAAAAAGAAAATCTTTCGTCTTTTATCAATTCCCCGCGTTTGTTTTTCTGTACTAACAATTTTTTTGTCTCCCCAGAGATGAGTTCCTTTGAGAGTCAATGGGTCTGTCAGTCTAGGCTGAAAACTACAGTGTCTTCCTTAAGAAAATTAAACCATTTACAAGCACTGTATATTGTTAAAGGCCTTCCTGTTCTAATGGGTACATCTTTCTTGGGATTTCTGGGTAGTCCTTTGTGTGCTCTTCACCTTGGGGCGTAACAGTTATCAGACAAAGAAGTACAATATTTTTCACATGCCCATGTACTTGTGAAAAGCATGTTTTTCATGCTGCTTTTCCGTGCTTATCCATTGACTGCCTTTAAATCTTTGTACACAATCCAAGTCTTTGATCATGTATTATGTTCCCTGTGGGCTTGCCCTGCACACCCATGTAGAGCTGGTAAAAGCAGCAAAGCTCTGCACGTTATGACATCTCATGGATGTACTTCCTTTGAAGACTAGGAGGGTGTCTCCTAACCATGGAATAGAGAAATGTCTCCATTAGATACTAATTTGAGAGAAGGTCTCTTTCCAGGACCTTATGTTTACCAAAAGTACTCTGCAGGTTGCAGTTACTCTGATAGATTAATGTGGGTGTGTTTGCTGTTGATTACCAGCTAAACCTAAAGCACTATTTCTCAAATCTGTGCTGAGGAAATACAAATTGTTACGTTTTATTGGAGCTAACAATGGAAATTAAGGAGATCATCCGTACAGAAAACCTGAATCTTATTGAGGATTAACCCTAAGACATATTTACCAGTTTATGCACAGAAATCATATCATACTTAAAATCTTCTTTTTGTTCTAGATAGCATCAGCTTTCCTGCGATGTTTTATTAAAAATCCATTGTGGCCTTCTTTGCATTAATATTTCTGCTTCATTTGAGTTTCTATCGCTGTTATTTTGCAATGCTTTCCTGATCTACCTTGCTGATCAAATACCCTTTAATCAATGCAGCCCTGATGTAATCAGTGTGATCATTTGCTCTTAAACAAACACAGTATCTCAGCCAAAAGGATTTGATTAAGCTCATACATAGGAACATAACCTGAGTTTTTATTGTCCTCAATTTACTGAGAGCAAGAGCTTAGTGGGTACTTATTTTAGACTTAAAGCGTCAGTGTTGGAGAGGGACAAGTTTTAGCTCTGTAATTATGCTTTGTCCTACCTAGATAAAGATAAGTGTGTAGATTTACACAAGAGAAGCGTGTATAGATGTACCCATGAGAGACAGCAGCACAGGTAGGACAGATGCTAATTACATTGCCTAATGCCATTCTGAAAGGTGCTTAGATACCGTAGTGATTGAGCCTGTAAGAAAAACGTTTTGCAACGATGTGTTTTATTGCCTGAGAATGCCTCAAGCAGTGCAAATAAGATTTGGGCAGTAGATTCAAAGAACAACAAAATTTTCAAACTTCCTAACTCTACTCAGTAAAAGTGTTTTCTCATAGAATGAGGTGGGGAGGAGGATAAACTGCTGATGCCAGGTGTTGTTAGAAGACGTGTTTTTTTCTGAAATCACTCTCAAAACCGCTTTCTCTGATAACAGTTGTGGGTGGGTGACTGTCAACAGCAGTATGTGTTCCATGAGAAAAAAATTCCCATTTAGAAGTTAAAATTCTATGGTCACGTGGAGTTTAAATTCTTATTCCTTATGATCTGCCACTGTCTGTGAAGGACTGTCCTCCCTCCCTCCCTCTCTTCCCTCCCTCTCTCCCTCCCAGCACACATAAATCACTGTTTGTTGAGTTTTCCAAATTTATATGGAGTGTAAGTAATTCATGAGTATGGCCTTTAGTAAGATACTCAAGCTTTTCTGTATT